TTGCTTCTCTAAACTCCCATACCCAAATCTTGAAATCCCACAAATATTACATAAATAACAACATATACAAAAAAAATTAAATTTAAAAAAAAAAAAAAGATACCTAGAGGAAGGCAACCTCTGTCTTTGCTTCTCTAAACTCCCATACCCAAATCTTGAAATCCCACAAATATTACATAAATAACAACATATACAAAAAAAATTAAATTTAAAAAAAAAAAAAAGTTACCCAGAGGATGAGGAAGAAGATGCAGTGTAGAGAAGAATGCCACCCTCTTCATCATCTACAAGACGGGGCCGTTCAGTTCCTGGTTTCCAAAATTGTGACATTTTTGTAGTATTAGAGCTGAATTGCTTCTGTAATTTTCAGACTGGAGAAGAAGAGAAGAAGAAGAAGAAGAGAAGTTGGGTTTTACCAAAAAGATTTAGTTTTGGGCCAAGTGTAACAACAAGCCCATGTTTTGGGGTGATTTGCTACGAAGGAAAATTGACATAAATAGTTGTTCATTTAAAAAAAAAAATCGATAAATATATATTATATATTTTTATTTGATCGGTTAAATGTGCAATTATCTTTTATGACAATGTATCGACAACATTTCAATTTGGTTCATATTTTTAAAAATTATGAAAATCTAGTCTTTAGAAGATTGCTCATATTAGACTTGAATATAATATTTGATATTGTTCAATTTTATCGACAAAATATATTAGATTATCTTCTAACTTTTGCGGTGGCTGATGAATTTTAGATCATCATTTAATATTTTCTCAAAAATCTTCAAATTGCACAAGAGTTGTTAGAATGTGGTCTAAAAGAGGTATAATAAATTGCGAAGAAAAATAAGATGATGCACACTTACTCTCACAAAAATAAGCAATTAGTGGACTTCTCTTATCAAAATTGCACATTTCGGGAAGTAAATTTAAGAAAAGACTCATTTTACTCGAAAAAATAGTGAGATAACAATCGATATGCAAACCTTTATTTGATTTACGGAAATGGACTTTAGAAAAATCAATTAATATGTTTGAAAGTTATCATAAAAAGATGTATGAAGTAAAATGGTACTTTAATCCTGGTCAACAAAGTAAAATTTTTAGCATATCTTGTATTATGTGTTAAAAAACAAATAACGTATAAATAACAGTAGAGCTTTCTTGTTTTTGGTGCTTAGTAAGTCTGTTTACTAGGCCTGCCCAACCTGACCCCTTAAGATTTATGATACCGAGTTCCCGAATCAGGCCTAACTCGGTCCCTCCATTAATGGGCAGGGCCGGTCTCGGACGGATCAGTGAACATGGTGGGAAAAATTCGGCCCGTGCCCGGTAAGGGCATTTTTGGCGAGCCTGATGGGCCAAACCCGAATTTTAATAACAGGTCGGGTCGGGTCGGGTTGTTTTTTAAAAAAAACAAAATTGATTATTAATTATTAATTCAAAAGTTTGAGTCACTTATCAATATATTGTATTGTTATCTATTTAATTTTGTAATAATTATAACTATTTATGACAATATATTATCTAAATAATAAAATAGTTACATTATATTATTTATATATATATATATATAAGTAAAGTTGAGTTTGTTATTGCTTTATCTTTAATGAACT